AGTACCATTGATTATAGAATATTCTACAATATTCTATAATCAATGGTAGTACCTTGCAGGTATATTTTGAGCGCACATATATAGCCATATAGGGTCGTATAAAAGAGTTGGTAACGAACAATCGGAGACACGTATAAAATTTCGAAAAACATCTCCTCATTTTCCACCATCTGTCTCGAATGTAAGAGACGCAATATTTAACAACGGAGATCAGATTAACAATGTATGCGAAGGATGGAATTTCCCAACTTAATAAGTACTTATTTATTATTAGATATTAAAACTCAATTAAAATATTCAATATAATTTGTTTAATATTAATTAARTTGAATTACAAACATCCAACAATTAGGACATTGATTACTAAGATGCGGCATGAAAATGCAGCAGACGCAACCAAAGTCGCACAGCGTCAACTGGGTACCTACTATTGCACCTTGCACCACCATCGAAAAATAAACTAAAAGATATATTAAAACGTCTTTGCAAGGAGTATAATGTGGAAGTAAGGACATTTCAATTTTTTTAAAAGCTATTGCTAATTTTATTAGAAAATAAAGTAAAATTTTCTATTTTTACGTTAAACGTTTTTATCTTTTTTTTTAACAAATTATTTTATATTTTATTGTGTGTTCATAAAAAACTAATTATTTGACATTTTATTATTATATAATCATCTAGGCTTAACTTTTTTACGAGCTAATTTTATAATTTAATAGTTGAGCTATTTTTTAGACAATTTTATATGAATGTATTGATTTTACAATGGTGTGTGTGTGTTTTTTTTAAAAAACATTTTTCTAAATTTTTAGAAAATAGTGTAGCTAGTTTTTTTTTTTAGCACATTATTCCTGTATTCATAAAAACGAATTGTTTTACATTTTATTTTATATTTATTATTATTTGACTAATGTGTGTGCAGTATATTTTGTAATACCTATTATTACTATTAATKTAATGTACTTAAAAACGGATAAATTTGGATATTTTGATTGATTACCTATTTTTATACATATAGAAAACCATGCAATATACTCATTTAGTCCGTACTATGTATGCCAGATTTTCTTATTGATTAAATAACATTTTTTTATTACTATTGCATAATAAACATAACATACAAGTTCCACAACTAAAATAWCTGAAAAAGCAATAAAAATATTTATACAAAAAACAAAGCCAAAATAAGTTGGTTTATTTGGATGAGAATGATGTGAAACGAATTTATGTATAAAAATTAAATTTCTATCTCATATATAAAAAAAT